TCAAAAAATAACAGAAAATAAAATTTGCCTGTGAATTAAAATGACAGACACAATTGCCACTCTCAGGGATCCTCCGGATGGACATACAACTATACTCTGTAGGACCTTGATCAGTAACAATTTCTACTATCGAAATGACTTCAGTCAGAATCTGTTTTTAACAATAATTATATTTACAAAATAGTGGCTTACTTGGCATAGGTTTGAATAAAACATTCATGAATAATCATTAAAGTGGGTGTGTAATAATTTAAATAGTGTGAACAGAGAATATTAATTCCAAAGTCCTGGGATTACCCACTAAAATGAAAACTGAATGTTTATTAAATTTTCAAAACAGTAACAAATTGCATCATCTATTCAGCATGCTGCCATTATTGTGTATTCATTTTGTGGAACATTAAATAGAATTAAAGAATATGAGCAGCGGCGTGGCGTCGCGTCAGTACAAGAGGATGTAATAAAAGTATATAACTGCAATTAACACTTTACCAACACAATACAGTTTTTTAGACTCACAGGTTAAAAAAATAATCAAACCAATTTAAAAAAATAATTGAATTTAGGTATAAAACAAAGTTATGAACGTATCTGTTAGATAAAACAGTAGACAAGGACAACAAAAAAGTTTATTAAGTGCTTTACAACCACATAACCAGTGTTCAGTTTTATAAACATTTTTACTAAAATGAGGAATACACGATTTTAATTTAGCATTAATATTCAAAATATGCTTTGGAGGTCCTTCTTCAATAGTTATTTTTTTCTGAATACACCATAGAACTGAAGAATGATTGTAAAATTATTTCTATTTTACAGCCACACTCAGAAGCGGTCATCGCGACACGCAACGATATTTATTTTCTATTTTATACAGTAAAGGAGATGTGTTTAAAAACCTGCGTCACCTATCGACTAAAACATCGAACGGGAGACGTAATTGTGGCCGGAAAGTTCACTGACCCCGGCTCGCGTTGATGGTGTTCACGATGTAATGTGGACAGTCGCATCATCGCACTGTAGAGATATTTTATTTTTAGCATTTAGCGTAGGTCTTAGCATTATCTATAAAGCTCGACCAATACACACACCAGATAATTGAAATTGAATTAAATTATTTCAATAAATTTACTAAGAATTTTAATTTATTATAGGAGATCTCAGTGATTTTTTAAATGAAAACGTATTACAATGTTTTGAAGGGATGGGACGTATCACCCGCATCAATGGAAACTTCGCCGCTGAATATGAGAACGAAGTAAGAGCAGATTATTTTTGAAAAAATATATCTATACGGAATACATTACAAGTTTTTAAACGGTACGGTCAACACGGAAATTCAAACGCACTTTCTTTATATTTGTCTATGTCTATATCTTTGTCCGGGTTGATCCGTCATTTTAGAGAGTAACATAAGTTATTTAGCTTTTTGTGCCTCTGAATTATGATAACTTTTCCATTTTAGATTTCAATACCCCGGAACCTAGACAGACTTCTTATCAAAACTGTGAACAGCAGAGCTATCCAACAAATTCAACAAATATAAAAGTGAAAATATGATAATACTATAGATTTATTAAAAAAAATAGCAAAGTTTATAATGCGACACCAAAAAATTACTATATATATTTACGATTGAAATTCAATTCGAATCAGATTAAGTATTGAAATTTCGCTGTCATTTTGTCATTTCCGATGCAGCGATAAATCACTCGTGAATGTTCCATAGTATTAATCTTTTTTTCATTTGATCATACGGTACAACTTTCCATTCGGCCGAGAAAAACAATTGTGGGAAAATATTTAATTGGGGCACCGTGTATTATACAATTGCCCTCTCATATATAATTTAATACTTATTTGATCGAGCAATTCCTTCAGAAAAAGCAACAATTTTCTCGGCCCAATATACAGGGTGTTATTGAATAAGTATATTAAAAAAGTTATGTGGTGATTCCTCTCTTAAATTTTAGATAATAATTTTTTTATATATTTCATATCCATATTTTTCGATTGGGCGTTCCTATACAAAGTAATTTGCTTATACATGGTAATCCAAATTCTTAGTAGCTCCCCATACAAGCCGTATATAATATACAAGCCATATTTGGCCTGTCATGTACTGAAGTCGTATTTTGGACGGCCCAAACTGGCCTACCGACTTAGTTTGACGATCGTGCCACCCTTTTTTGAATTATAACTTATCATACAGCCTCAAGTTTTTGACAAAAGCCAGTATCCTAAAGCCGTTTTGCAGAGGTTAGTTCTCCATCTCCGATATCAGTCGTACCAAAGTTTATGACAAGAATGGTTGTCGTCTCGGCGCACTCAGTGATGAAGTGTTCTCCAGTTTCCCCATTTTGCCGACAGAACGTGCATTCGCCGTTGTTTCTTAGCTTCGATCTACTGAGTAATCTAATAAACAACATTGAGGAAGCAATGTCCTGTTAATCCGAAGATTGTTCTTACTTAAATTAATGAAAATCTTTGATAGTTCTCGGTGGTAAGTCCTGAGAAATTTCACATGGAGTTTCAATATTTAGACGGTTTCAATATTTAGAAGCAGAACGGTTCTGGTTCAGTTAGTGAAGTGTTTGCTCCTTTTCTAGCTAAAAAAACGTTTGCTTTTTCATTGCCGTCTATCCCTTTGTGGGGTGGTACCCAGTTATAGGAGAACTTTTTTTTTCTTTGCTTAATTTATGCAGCTTCTCTAGGTATTCTTTGACCAACTTTGAACCGATGCCGATGGTTACTGAGTTGATCGCCCTTACATTACATTGTAAGTCTGGTGAATGTGTTCGTACAAAGATTTATACTGTGATCTTGGTTCAACTAGTATAATCGAACAACTCTTTATAAAAAGGATTAAGATTGAAGAGTGTTATATGAAAATCTCCTTAGTCATCTCAGTTGTTCGCTCATATACACTCAGATGCAAATTTAAAGTTTTATATTTTTGTTAGTTTTAGCCCTATTTTTATGATTTTTTAGCAAACTATATAATTATATGAACTTTAATTTGTAAACTAAGTTTTCATAAACTTTAGTATTTGGCAGGGTTAATCCGGAAATTGTTTTTTACACTAACTTTAACACTATAATATTACAGTCAGAACCATGACTCCTGAGCATTTTATTTTTTGATTCATGTCAATACATGCTTTGGTTAATTTTTAAGAGCGAAATGAACTGATCACGATCAATTTGCAATTTTTCCAATAATCATTACATATTAATGTGATTTTTTAATATGACGAGATGGTTTTGGCGACTATTAAGTCGTAACTAAAAAAAAGGTTAAAAACTAACGATACAGTCCTGGTTTTAATAAACATTAATAACGATCACAGAACTAAAAATATTAAAGAAAACATCTGTAATACTCAAGTATACAAACAGAAAAAAAAATTGTAAAAAATACCCTAATACTTTGTATTGCCTCCCTTGGTTGCTATAACTGCCTGTATACGCGTCCGTTCATACTGTCATTGAGGCTGCATATACCATATAGCGTTATGCTTTTCTTCCTATCCCATTCTTTTTTAAGAACCAAGCGAAATTCATTTAATGAAGCTGGTACTGCTTCGCGACCTCTAACCCTCCTGCCAAGCATTTCCCAAACGTCGAACATGATGGGCAGTTCATAGTGGTATATAGTTCAGAATAATTACCAAAACCGCTTTGTCATATTGAAAAATAACTTTAAAAAGAAATGATAATTGAAAAAATGCAAATTGTTGGTGGCAAGTTCATTTCGCTCTTAAAAATTAACCAAGGCATGTATTGACACGATCCAAAAAACAAAATATTCAGGAGACATGGTTTTCACCGTAAAATTGTATTTTAGGAAAATTTATACACGAAATTATTGCACAGGGTGCAGGGTAAAAGGGTAAAAAAACAACCCCTAAATTAACCCTGCATAATATGCCAAATATAAAAACTCAGTTTATAAAAAACTGAGTTTACGAATTAAAGTTGGTATAATTATATACAGCTTGCTAAAAAAATCACGAAAATCTAGCTAAAAATAACAGAAATATAACACTTTAAATTGAAAAAAATGTCACCGTTGCGCTTTTTTTGCATCTGAGTGTACATTTACACCCTGTAGACAAAGAGGCAGGAAGAAAGCGAGATCGAACTGGTCTGTAATCCGAATTGAAAATGAATAAAAAATCCAAGTCGTAATTGTTTTTCAATTGTACTTAAGACGTGATCCAAATAAAATCGCCTTTGATTGACTTAAATACAATCCGACCGATAATTCGAGACAATGACATCACTGACTTAAATAGTGAGACGTAGGAAAAAATATGCTGGAGGCTCGGCCCCATATAGCACTTTTTTCGATGCATTGTTGTTTGTTAAATTGAAGGAAAATTGACCGGTTTTGAATTTTACGGGACATGCGATGGAACAATAAAAAAATTAAAGAAATGCTCCATATATTTTATTATCTTGTTTATATAATAAAAAAGCTATTTAAATTTAATAACAGCAATTATCCAATGTAAAACATAGCTATTAACGCATCGTTACGTATTACAGACACTAATTAGATATGCTGCTTTGTGGAGTGGTATGGTAACGCTCCCATGGTAAATGTTGAGATATCAGAGAATAGTCGTAAGTCGTAAAATAAGTTAGAATAAAGACTTAGGTTTTTAATAACACCATCAGAAGTGTGTGAGTAGTGTGATTTTTCTGTGATACATTTCCTCTGACAATCACTGGTACTTTAAGCACAATAAGACTGACAATAAGTCCTAATGCTACAGTGCAGCAAAGAAAAAATAGTTTCCAGAATCTAGCTGTTCCATGCGTTAATGAAGAATTTCGATATATTATACCCTTTGGACTTTGAGACAAACTGCTACGATGTACTTGTCTCTAATATTAAAAGAGGCATACAAAATTAAACTATAAAAAGTATTTGGAATATAATATGTAGTATTTAGAATAAATGATATGTTCTTAAATAAAATGTTTTAACTTACCGGGACACATTCGCATCTCATACAATACAGTATTCCTATTGGTTGTCCTAGATCTGGTATCCATTTGGAGCCTAACTCGCGAATTTCTTTTCCAAACACACACTCTGAAACAAAATTATCGATTAGTATTCTGGGTTAAATTTTATAATGTTGAATATTTATGGTTGAACATATTAAATATATTGATTAATATAAATTTGATTAAATGTTTCCTATATAAATTTATCTTGATATTATACTGACTTGTTATTAAATCATTTGTAACGAGTTATTTATTCAGTAATCTATCTTAAACGCTAATATCTTCAAATAAAGTATTTTATATGTATCAAACGTTTAACTTAGTTAATATGTGTATATTTTTAATAATAACATTTTCGTTTGTCGAGCTAGTAGTCAGAAATGACATAATATATAACACAACACTGAAAATAGTAGAAGAATATACAGGGTGGTCCGAACTGTATTCCGGAAACTTCGGCAGCATATTCTGCAGATAAAAATAAGTAAAAATGTTCGTATAGATGTATGTCCAAAAATGCTTAGTTTCGGAGATACAGGGTGTAGAAGTTTCATTTTTATTTCGATTTTTTTCAAATAATTTCTGCGGTAATGTCAATATTTGGATTAAAATTGGTGTCTGGGAGTTTTTTGACATGATACATTTGATTTTGATGTCAATATGACTCCTACTAGTAGAGGGCACCGCCTAGATATTTTTTAACTGGCTTGAAAAGTAATAACTTTTCGTCCGTACCTGTATAAAACTATTGAGTAGAAAAATATACATTTACGACGCTTTTTACGTAAAAAAAGCCTGGGGGGCCTGGGGGCCTGTTGTTGAACCCAGGGGGGGGGGCCTAGAGGGCTTTTGTTTTTTAAAAAATGAAGAATAATTTAAAAAAAAAATTTTTTTGAATGAAACCTTTACATGAATTACTCTATCAATAAATTTCATAGACTTGGTTATCAAAGCCGTGTTCTCGTAACATATTTTTTGAACACAACAAAATAATATTAACTAAACAAAACTAGAAAACCTCATTTTTACTGCATCACAAGCAAATAAAAATTAATCCGTAGCCAAGAGTCATAATTCAAGATTATTCTGGGGGTGCCCAGCAGTACCTGGGGGGGCGGCACCACCGGGTACCCCCCTAATTACGCCAATGTTGAATAACCTGAAAATGATGATGATAAATAACATTTGCTACTTAAATCTAGCGAGAGTATTCTTAAAGACTAGTTTACAAAAACATCGATCGATAATGTATCGATTTCCATGCTTTCCAAACTTCAAAACAGTTTTTTTTCAATCGTATGGGCATGTATCACACTGGAAAATAGTTATTCCAATATTCCCCATCTCTAGCATCCATATTTATCTCCCCGATGAACCTATTTATTAAGTTGTCTATATGCGATTAGTATTTGATTTTGTAAATCTCTGTTTATTTTTCTGAAGTACTGTAGGTTTGTACTTTATCCTTAGTTAATTATATTGTAAAATAATATGAAAATGTATTAATTTCTGACATTGAATAGTGTTTTAATGCTAGAAACAGTCATCAAAAATGTATAAAGTTATAGAAATATGCTGTCCTTGTATAAAATTCAAGCCAATATTTGAAAAGCCATAACTCTCATTTCCATAATAAAAAATTATGGAAATGAGATCTGCATGTGTATCTGAAAGATACCACTCGTTCGCCTTTCGAAACAAAACTATGCGAATTGTATGCAACCAGACGCATAGTCTGCTGCAACGGCTTGGCTGCATGTTAGGAAAGGTCAGACCAAAATTAACATCTCTAAAGCGGTCTCTATTGTAGTGGTGCTATTATACTCCTACCAATTATAAAATTGTGTAGCGCTATGCGATGACTTATTTATAATTAAACGTTGCTCGCGTACGTACAAATTGCGGCTAGGAACTGGTGCTTTTAATGATAATGTTAGTTGACTCGACTCGTATGGTGCAAGATCATAGCAAATTACACTCAGATGCAAAAAAACGCAACGGAAAAAAATTTCGTCAACTTTAAAATGTTATATTTGTTTATTTTTAACCCTATTTCCTTGATTTTTTTTAGAAAACTGTATATAGATATATCAACTTTAATTCGTAAAATCAGTTTATTATAATCTATAGTATTTGATCTCTTATACAGGGTTAATCGAAGAGTTGTTTTTTACACCCTGTGTTTTCACAGTGCTCATAACTTTATGAGCAAATTTTCCTACAACGTCATTTTTAGATCAGAACCATGTGTCTTGAATATTTTGTTTCTTGCATTATATCAACACATGCCTTGATTAATTTTTGATAGCAAAATGAACTTGCCACAAACATTTTGCAATTTTTCAATTATCGTTACTTTTTGATGTTATTCTTCATAATGACGAGGTTGCTTTGATGACTATTGTAGTGTAGGTACGATTGAATATAGTTCTTAGTATCGAGTATTATGCAAAATTCATTGATCTTGTTGAAGATGGCAGAAATTATAAATATTCGCTTTATCCTTGAATAATAGGAAAACATAACACAACATATTTGCACCCTCATTGGCAGTATGAACAGATGTATACAGACAGTTATAACAGCCAGGGGAGGCAGTATGTTTTACAAGTTTTTTTTATTTGTTTGCATGTACATGGTGGACCATTTTGGTTGTTTCTATAGGGTATCTAAGAAACCGTAGGAAATATTCAAATTTTGATACTGCAGTTTCGGGTTCTTTTTTTGAAAAAATCACAATGCCGCAAACGGATCGTGGCTATCTTGATCCGTTTCGAAACTACAGGGGGATTCTCAAATTTTGTACTTTTTGAAGATGTTCGATAGTTTGTTTACTTCAGCAACTACACAAAAATGAATTATACATTTTAAAGGCACTTTTCTGTGTAGAATGCAGTGACGTAGTCAAACTTTTTTCGGAAAAAATATTTTTTAGATATTAACTATACTTCTGTTTTTTTTTTAAATAGAACCCCCTGTATATTTTTAAATTTCCTGATTCAGCTTGGCATGGTCTTCTCAAAAATATATAACACTCTATATTTATTTTCACTATTAACTACAACCACAAACTAACTTAGTAGTAGACCGCGCCGAGTAACAAAGTTAACGGTTGTCATGGTGATCGGGACATAGTTTTGATGGATGCGTGACATTTCATTTCAACAGATTGAAGTGTGGGTATTTTAAATAATACAAAAATGGGTAAATTTGAAAATTTTGAGAAATATAATATGTTAGAATGTTATATTGAGTCTAACAAACAGTGATTTATATTTTGAGCGGTATTTTGAGCGCGAGCAACCAAACCCAGCCATTTTTAAAAGGTCAGAAAATAGTTTAATTCTAGCTACCTAGGCCACCTGACATCACTCCCTTGGACTTCTTTTTCTGGAGCTGAAAAACGAAATTTATCGAAATGCAAATAGAACATTAGAAGACTTACAAGATAGTTTTGTTGTGGCTTTGCAAAGTGTAACCAACATACACATTACGCCACTGCATTCTACACAGAAAAGTGCCTTTAGAATGTTTAATTCATTTTTGCGTATTTGTTGAAATAAACAAACTATCGAACATCTTCAAAAGTACAAAATTTGAGAATCCCCCTGTAGCTTCGAAACCGATCAAGATAGCCACGATCTGTTTGCGCCATTGTGATTTTTTCAAAAAAAGAACCCGAGACTGCAGTATCAAAATTTGAATATTTCTCACGGTTTCCTGGATACCCTATAGAAACAACCAAAATGGTCCACCCTGTACATGGATGAAAAAATATTGTAAAACACTTATTTTTAACTAAATATATAAATCCATAAAAAATCAGGTTTTAATATAGAAGTAAGTTTAAAGTAAGGTAAAATATTCAGTCTTAATCTTACTTTTTTGGGGTGTGAATAAGTATTGGATATTTGGTAAATAATTTCATACGATTGAAAAAATGACGTCAGAGATAGCTTTGAAATGAAGATCGCTGTCATTTTGCATGTACATTTTACGGGGCGTGTCATCGATCGTCATTTCAATAGCAACCATCGATTTTCATTTCAACTTATTAAGAAACTGAAATTTGATTTAACTGAACAACTATTATAAGAATTTTGATATTGACATTAGCTGTATGCTGACAAGTATGTCGACAAGTGTTTTTCAATTTTCAAGAAAATGGCAGTGATTTATATTTTGAGCGGTATTTTGAGCGCGAGCAACCAAACCCAGCCATTTTTAAAAGGTCAGCAAATAGTTTAATTCTAGCTACCTAGGCCACCTGACATCACTCCCTTGGACTTCTTTTTCTGGAGCTGAAAAACGAAATTTATCGAAATGCAAATAGAACATTAGAAGACTTACAAGATAGTTTTGTTGTGGCTTTGCAAAGTGTAACCAACATACACATTACGCCACTGCATTCTACACAGAAAAGTGCCTTTAGAATGTTTAATTCATTTTTGCTTATTTGTTGAAATAAACAAACTATCGAACATCTTCAAAAGTACAAAATTTGAGAATCCCCCTGTAGCTTCGAAACCGATCAAGATAGCCACGATCTGTTTGCGCCATTGTGATTTTTTCAAAAAAAGAACCCGAGACTGCAGTATCAAAATTTGAATATTTCTCACGGTTTCCTGGATACCCTATAGAAACAACCAAAATGGTCCACCCTGTCCATGAATGAAATAAAAACACTTATTATTAACTAAATATATAAATCCACAAAAAATCAGTTTTAATATAGAAGTAAGTTTAAAGTAAGGTGAAATATTCATTCTTAATCTTACTTTTTTGGGGTGTGAATAAGTATAGGATATTTGGTAAATAATTCCATGCGATTGAAAAAATGACGTCAGAGATAGCTTGGAAATGAAGATCGCTGTCATTTTGCATGTACATTTTACGGGGCGTGTCATCGATCGTCATTTCAATAGCAACCATCGATTTTCATTTCAACTTATTAAAAAACTGAAATTCGATTTAACTGAACAACTATTATAAGAATTTTGATATTGACATTAGCTGTATGCTGACAAGTATGTCGACAAGTGTTTTTCAATTTTCAATCTTGAAAAAGGATCTTGATTTGGT